ATACCCACCTGTTTCACTCCTCTCTCCACCCCCCATCCCCTTTCTCTGTCCCTCCTTCCCTCTCACCCTCTCTATCTTTCTGTATACACCTTACTTTAGCTCTTTGTATTCTAAAATGCAAAAAGAAAGAATGCAAAATATATTCCCACTCTGTAATTTCTTTTCAGTTTGGAGTTAATTATTGAATTTAATTTGCTATGCATTTTATACATGGCTAATTTTAGAAACATAATGAATAATTCACATTCAGATGAATAATAAGAATTGATGTCTAATAACAAGGTTTAAATACGTATAATATTTGATGAAAACATATTATCTGTAATTTTTCAAAAACAAAACAAGAGTATTTTCTGTTCCTTTTGGAATCAATACATTTCATATCTTTCCCCATAGTATATAAATGCTTGCATTTTATGTTTATAAACATGTTTATAGCACCTAACATTTTTTAAAATACCACTTTTTAGAATATAATTTTGGACCAAAGAATTCTGGATTCAATAAAAGAGCTCAATAAATTTCCTATGCAAATAATGAGAATTTACTGAAAATTCTGAGAATCTTGTTACAGTAATTTTTTCTTGGGAAGATTTGATCAAGCATGTGTTCACCACAGATAGTTACAAAGACAGATCATAATCATGTCTCTACCAATAATCCAGCTTGACAAATCAATGAGTTTAGTGGGCTTACTTACAGAGCATGGGGGAGCAGCTATGTATAAGACCTCAAATAGCTGCATCGCCTCAAAGTCTCATGCCATCCATGGTAACCTTATATAGTCTGGAGCTGGCTTCCACAGGAATTACACAGAGGGTCCATGGCATAGTTTGAACTAGCAGTGTAGAAAATGACTCAATCAACAGCCTATAAAATGATTTAGGAAAGAAAGTAGATGAAAGTAACCATAATCACTGGCTTCTTCCCTGATTAGAAAGCAAAGGACATCACTTCTTTATGTTCAGAGAATACACTTATAGCTTCAGCTTATTTACACTGTACTCAGAGAATAACCAGTCATTGTAAAGATTACCTCAGTGTCCATCAAATTCCTGCCATATTTTTCATAAAAGACTAGTAAACTAGATGCTACTTTTGTATTCATTGCTTGGAACACATCCAGCTCTCAGAAATGATTTCTTACTTTTCCTTAACCCACTCATGTTTGCTCTGTTCATTTCTTGTCTACATTTCTTGTTGAGTGTGTCACAGTAAACTTGAAAGCCTCTGTCTCAGGATAGCTTTGGTGACCATGATTCATCAGCACCCTTGTTGCTAAAGTTATAAATTCATCAAGGACTGAGAACAACTGTGTCATCCCTCCCCCACAAAAAAACATACATTGGCTACATCATAGAGGCCCCCTTCAGTTACCTTTCCACATCCACACACTCTAGCATTTCCAAGACCATTTGCAAGTAGTTGGGGAAGGCAAAGAGGAGTAATAGCTGGAATCCAAGTTGAGGGTCTTGTGACCCTCCCCTACTTCCTTTTGCTAGGAAACGCCAGTCACACAGTTACCATTACCATTGATCTGGTACCATTATATGATTTTGATCATTAGTAGTATTGGTTATGGATTTGAGTAAATTAGGAAGTATCACTCTATACTGAGGTGAAAGAAGAAAATGCCATACAATATTTATTTATGCATTCTTCCCCAAATATTCCCCACTCTATTGGGAGGGGGCAGAACTCTAATAGAATTCAAAATCTATTTGCCTAAAATGTCAGTTTATCCTTTAAGGTGACATTGTTATCAGGGAAATTGGGATCACTTTTATTGAGCTCTTAGTCTCCTTAATTGAATTTAAAAATGGACTCACAAAGAAACTCATAAGAACAATTTTAGTAGAGTATTTTAAAACATCAACCTGCAAATATCTGTAGCTGCCTGGAGGAGAGTATTGGGACAGGCAAGAGAGCAAGCCTTGACTTTTAACGTAGGCAAGGAGGCTCAGCAAGCCTCCTTGGAAGTGGTTGGAAGTGGTGGGTAGCTTCAGAGGAAAGAGAAAAAGTTACAATGCCAGAGAACCAAGCCAACAACAAAACCAACAGAGGCTCTAACCAGCATCTGCAAGAAAAAGGCAGAGGAGAAGAAGCAGGGAATGTATTACCTTTGTGAGTGATAATTCAAATGGAAAGACTTAGCAGTGCTTCATGGCAGCTCTACAGCGACTATAGTTACTACTGGTCTGGTTTCTGGGAAGAAAGCACACATTATTTCATTAAGTGTTCCTCTTATCTGTGTATTATAGCTTTAGATAAACTTGTCTTTCTGAGGGGTTTCCTTCAACAAGGTTAACTCTTAATGTTTTCTCGAGTTTCGGATGTTTTCTCCACTGAAGACAGGAGCTAGAATCTACTCTTTACACAGAAAGAAATAGTTGTCACTGAATGGGACTCAATGGAGACCCAATCTAGGCTAATAATTCCATTATGGTTTGCTTTTAAAGATATTTTTCTTTCCCTCTTAGCATACTGCTTCTAACCACTGACATATGAGTCTTTCTATATATTCCAAAGACTGCTAATGGTAAACCTATACTATCTGGTTTTGTTTTGTTTTTTTTTTTTTTTAGTTGACATACCTACCTTACAGATTCATACTTGCATTCAAATAAAACAGAATATATTTTTGGCATCACTCCCATACTCATACATTTTCTTCTATTGAAAAGAATACATAATTGCAATTATGTAAATAATGTTTATAGTCTCATTTTAGTCAGGGGAAACTAGCTAACATGAAATATGAGTATCTTTGTTTACATCAAATACCACCCCCCAAACCACAGGAACTGTATATGACTTTGTCATTTTCCTATGCAGTTGATCACTATTCATGCTCATAAACATTTATTTACTTAAAAATGTGACACTATATATTTTTATTCTATTACAGCTTCAATCACTTTCAGTGTAATAGCTGGATATATTCTACAACATACATATTAAAGTTGATTAGCTTTATTTGCTTTTCAATTTGTACATACTGTTTTGTAAAATTGTAATAAATATCCACATAGATAAATCTGTGCACATGTCTGGATTTCTATAGAAAGATTCATAAAAGGAGAAATTTTGAATAAAATACAAGTCTTATTTTGGTAGATCCTATCGAACTGCTCCAAAAAGATTGCTCTAATTTTATGAGTACATGAACAACTATTTTGTACATATAAACATCATAGAAGATAGGACTCTTCTGGATAAACATTTTTATCTATATCTTTCATTTGGTCTATATAATTTACTGATATTATAGCTTTAATACGTTTAACTAAATACCACTCCTACATTTCTACATAATATTTACACCACCAGAATCTAGGGACTCTACACCAACAAGACCTGAACCTCTTAACACAGATGAAGCAGAAGAGAATGACCCTATAAACAACTTCATGAAGATGATAAAGACCCTAAAAGAGAAAATGAAAAAAATCCTTAATGGAAGAAAAGACAAACCAAAAATTGCAAGAAACAATTTAAACAGAGCAAGGTTTGAAAGCTGAAATAGAAACATAAATAAATAAATACAACAACAACAAAAACAGTCCAAGGGAATGCTGGAATTAGAAAAACTGGGTACATGATCAGGAACAGCAGAGCAAGCACAACCAACATAATACAAGAGATGGAAGACAGAATCTTAGGTGTTGAAGATACACTAGGAGAAATAGATTAATTGACCAAAGAAAATCATAAGTCCAACAAATCTCTAAAACAAAATATTCAGGAAATATGGGACACCACTAAAAGGCCAAGCCTAAGAATAATAGGTATAGAAGGTGAAGAAAACAAGCTCAAAGGTGCAGAAAATATATTCAACAAAATAATAGAAGAAAACTTTTCAATACTAAAGAAAGACATGCCAAGGAAAGTACAAGAAGCTTACAGAAGTTCAAACAAAGGGGACCACAAAAAACGTCCCCCCAAAATGGACCAAAGAAACAAGTGGGTATAGCAATCCTAATAGCTAACAAATTAGTCTTTAAACTAAAATCAATCAAAGATGAAGATTGTCATTCCTTATTCATTACAGGAGAAACCCATCAAGATAAAGTTTCAATTCTGGACATCCATGCCCCAAATACAAAGGCACCCACATTCATAAAAGAAACATTACTAAAACTTACATCCCACATAAAACCCCAAACACTTATAGTGGGAGGTTTCAACAACCCACTCTCAACACTAGACAGAACTACCAGACAGGAACATAACAAAGACAAAGGAACTATCAGAAGTTATGACCCAATAGAGTTTAACAGATGTTTACACAACATGCCATTCAAACTCAAAAGAATATAACTTTTTCTCAGTGACACATGGAACCTCTAAATTCGACCACATACTTGGCAATGTAGTAAATGTACAAAAAAAAAAAAAAATTGGAATAACCCCCTGTATCTTATCAGATCACCATGCTTTAAACTTAAAATTGAACCACTACACAAGTTGCAGAAACCCTACAAACTCATGGAAATTGACCAATGTGCAATTGCACCATTCTTGGGTCAAGGAAAAAATAAAGAAGTTAAAGACTTCCTAGAATTCAATGAAAATGAAGACACAATATACCCAAACTTATGGGACACTTTGAAAGCACTGCTAAGAGGAAAGTTCAAAGCACTAAGTGCCCACAGGAAGAAACCAGAGAATAGTCACACTAGAGAATTAACATAACAACTGAAAGCTCTAAAACAAAAAGAAGCAAACTCACCCCAAGGGAATAGATGACAGGAAATAGTAAAATTGAGGACTGAAATCAATAAAGTAGAAACAATAAAAGGATACAAATAATCAATGTAACAAAGAGTTGGTTCTTGGAGAAAATCAACAGGATAGATAAACCTTTATCCAAACTAACCAAAAGGCAGAGAGAGAACATGCAAATTAACAAGATCAGAAATGAAAAGGGGGGCATAACAACGAACACTGAGGAAATCCAGGGAATCTTCAGGATATACTTTGAAAACCTGTACTCTGCTCTTCCACGGGAGGCCTACACGCCGCCGATTCTGCTGCCGCCATGTCTCTAGTGATCCCTGAGAAGTTCCAGCACATCCTGCGAGTACTCAACACCAACATCGATGGGCGGCGGAAAATAGCCTTTGCCATCACCGCCATTAAGGGTGTGGGGCGGAGATATGCTCATGTGGTGCTGAGGAAAGTGGACATTGACCTCCCCAAGAGGGCTGGAGAGCTCACAGAGGATGAGGTGGAGCGCATGGTCACCATCATGCAGAACCCAAGGCAGTACAAGATCCCAGACTGGTTCTTGAACAGACAGAAGGACATGAAGGATGGCAAGTACAGCCAGGTTCTGGCCAATGGTCTAGACAACAAGCTACGTGAGGACCTGGAGCGGCTGAAGAAGATCAGAGCCCACAAAGGGCTGTGCCACTTCTGGGGCCTTCGTGTCCGAGGTCAGCACACTAAGACCACTGGCCGCCGGGGCCGTACTGTGGGTATATCCAAAAAGAAACGAGTCTCTGGGCCTTCACTGTTAATAAATAGTTTATATACCTGTGGGAAAAAAAAAAAGAAAAAAAAAAAAAAGGAAAACCTGTACTCCACAAAATTCAAAAATTTAATGGAAATGGACAATTTTCTGGATATATAGCACTTACAAAAATTAAATCAAGAACAGATAAGCAATTTTAATAGGCCTATAAACCCTAATGAAATAGAAGCAGTAGCAATCATCAAAATCTCCCAACCAAAAAGAAAAAAAGAAAAAAGAAAAAAACAAAAAGCCCAGGTCTAGATGGTTTCAGTGCAGAAAAGAAAGAAGCAGAAGTAACTTTGCCAAACTCTTTTTACCAGGCTACAATTGCCTTGATACTCAAGCCACACAAAGACACAATTAAAAAACAGAACTACAAATTTCAAGATACCATTATTTTTTTCTGCAGAGTAGTATTCCATTGTATAGATGTGCCACATCTTCATTATCCATTCTTCAATTGAGGGGCATCTAGGTTGCTTCCAGGTTCTTGCTATTCCAAATAGTGTTGCTATGAACATAGTTGAACAGATGTCTTTGTTGCATGGATGTGGATCCTTTGGGTATATGCCTAAGAGGGGGATTGCCAGGACCTGTGGTAAACTAATTCCCATTTTCCTGAGGAACCGCCATACTGATCTCCAAAATGGCTGTACAAGTTTGCACTCCCACCAGCAGTGGAGGAGTGTTCCCCTTTCTCCACATACTCTCCAGCATGAGTTGTCATTGGTGTTTCTAATTTTAGCCATTCTGGCAGGAGTAAGATGGTATCTCAAAGTTGTTTTGATTTGCATTTCCCTGATAGCTAAGGATGTGGAGCACTTTCTTAAGTGTCTTCCAGCCTTTTAGATTTCCTCTATTGAGAATTCTTTCTTCAGTTCTGTACCCCATTTTTTAATAGGGTTATTTGGTGTTATGTTGACTAGTTTCTTGAGTTCTTTGTATATTTTGGAGATCAGCCCTTTGTCGGATATAGGATTGGAGGCAAGTGGATGGCACTTGAAGAAACCATCATGAATGAGGTAACCCAGTCACAAAAAGAGGAACATAGTATGTACTCTCTCATATATGGATTTTAGACCTAGAACAAAAGATCACCAGCCTATAATTCACACCACCAGATGAACTAGGATACAAGGTATATTCTAAGAGATTCATATAAAGTTCCGCACAGAAGCAGGAAGACACAAGTTCCCCAGAGCACAGGGGAAGTGGGGAGGGGCAGTGAATGGAGAGAGAAGTAGGAGAAGGAGAGGGGGAGGAGAGGAAAACGCGTGCGACTAGGAAGATTGAGTCCGGGTAGGAATAGAAGACAGGAGAGAGACAGAGAGACAGAGACAGAGAGACAGAGAGAGAGAGAACATAAAAGAGGGAGCCAATATTGGTTTGAAGAGAAAATTGAACCCAAAGAAAGGTCTAGAGACCTATAAGTGTGCCACCAACTAACAATTTGAGCATCCGTGGAAAGGCTACCATAAATGCCCTTCCCAGATATTGAGATCAACAACTAACTTATCCATGGAGCCCTCATCTAATACCTATTGGAAACAGAAGCAAACACCCATTCCTAAACACTGAGTCGAACTAGAACACAGATGCAGATGCACAGGGCAAGACTAGGCTGCAGAAACACATAGAAACAGCTGACCTGAACAAGGAGGAGCTAACGGTTCCCCAGACTGATAGCTGGAAAACCAGCATGGGACTGACTCAGGCCTCCCTGAATATGGGTCTCAGCCAGAAGGACTGAGCAGTCTTAGGGACCTCAGATAGGATGTATCCCTGGTGCACAAAAGGACCTTGCGAACACATCCCCCATGTAGGGATAACTGCCTTAACCTAGAGACAGGAGAGAAGCCCTAGTCCCTACTTCAAATGACCTGTAAGATCTACATGACCACAACTGGATGGCATTGCCCTACATATGGATTTGTGGTGGGGTGATGGGAGGTAAGGGTGGTTAGGGTGTATGTGAAAGGGCAGAAAGGGTAAAAATGAGGGAGGGAGGAAAGAAAGGAGGGAGGGAGAGGGAACTTGGATCAACATGTAAAATAATAAATTAAAAAAAAAACAGAACTACATCCCTCATAAACATTGATGCAAAAATACTCAATAAAATACTGGCAAATTGAATCCAAGAACACATCAGAGAAATCATCTACCATGACCAAGTAGGATTCATTCCAGGGATGCAGGGATGGTTCAACACTTGAAAACTTATCAATATGGTCCAGCATATAAACAAACTGAAAAAGAAAAACCACATGATCATCTCACTACATGCTGAAAAAGCCTTTGACAAAGTTCAACACTCCTTCATGGTAAAGGTCTTGGAAAGAGCATGGATAATAGGAAAATACCTAAACATAATAAAAACAAAAAAGCAATATAAAATAAACCAACAGCCAACATTAAATTAAATGCAGAAAATCTTAATGCAATTTCTCTAAATTCAAGAATAAAACAAAGTTGTCCACTCTCTCTATATCTCTTCAATATTGTACTTGAAGTACTAGCTAGAGCAATAAGAAAACAAAAGTAAATAAAAGTGATACAAATTGGAAAGGAAGAAATAAAACTTCCATTATTTGCAGATGATATGATAGTTTACACAAGTTACCTCGAAAAGTCTACCAGGGAACTTCTTCCACTGATAAACACCTTCAGGAAAGTGGCAGGATACAAGATTAACTTAAAAAAAATAGTAGCCCTACTATATACAGACAATAAATGGACTGAGAAAGAATTAAGAGAAACCCTTTACAATAGCTATAAACAACATAAAATATCTTGGAGTAATGCTAACCAAACAAGTGAAAGACCTATATAATAAGACCGTTGAGTCTTTAAAGAAAGAAATAGAAGTAGATACCAGAAAATTGAAAGATCTCCCTTGCTTTTGAAAAGGTAGGATCAACATAGTAAAAATGGCAATCTTTCCAAAAGCAATCTACAGATTCAAGGCAATCCCCATCAAAATTCCAGCAAAAATTTTCACAGACATTAAAGAAACAATACTTGATTTTATGTAGTAAAACAAAGGACCTAGGATAGCCAAAACAATACTGTACAATAAAGGAACTTCCAGATGCACCACCATCCCTGACTTCATGCTCATCTATAGAGCTATAGTCCTGAAAACAGCTTGGCATTGGCACGACAGTACACAAGTAGACCATTGGAATTGAATTGAAAACCCTGATATTAACCCACACACCTACAAATACCTGCTTTTTGACAAAGAAACTACAATTATATACAACAGAAAAAAGAAAGCATCTTCAACAAATGGTGCTGACATAGTTGGATGCTGACTGTAGATAGATCCATGTCTATCGCCATGCACAAATCTTGAGTCCAAATGGATCAAAGACCTCAACATAAATCCACCCACATTGAACCTCTTAGAAGAGAAAGTGGGAGCTACCCTTAAAAGAATTGCTAAAGGAGATGGCTTCCTGAACATACCAGTAGCATAGACACTGAGATCACAAATTAATAATTGGAACTTCATGAAGGTGAGAAGCTTCTATAAGGCAAAGGACATAGTAAACAAGACAAATCAGCAACCCACAGAGTCAGAAAAGATATTCACCAACCCCACATCTGACAGAGGGCTGGTTTCCAAAATATACAGAAAATCAAGAAGCTAATTATCTAACCACTCAATAATTCAATTAAAAAGTGGGATACAGAACTAATAGAGAATTTTCAATAGAGGAATCTAAAATGACTGAAAGATCCTTGAGAAAGTGCTCAACATCCTTAGATATCAGGGAAATGCAACTCAAAACAACTCTGAGATACTATATTATTCCTGGAAGAGTGGCTGAAATAAAAAAAAAAAAAAAAAACACTAAAGACAGTTTGTACTGGATAGGATGTGGAGAAATGGAAACTCTCCTACCCTGCTGGTGGGAGGGCAAACTCGTACAGCCACTTTGGAAATCAGTATTTAATACAAGATCCAGCAATTCCACTTTTAGGCATATAACCAAAAGATGCACATTCATTCCACAAGGACATCTGTTCAACTATGTTCATAGCAGCATTATATGTAATAGCCAGAACCTGGAAGTAACCTAAATGCCCCTCAACTGAAGGAAGGGTGGAGAAAATGTGATACATTTATACAATGGAGTTCTACTCAACAGAGAAAAACAATGGAATCTTAAAAATCACAGGCAAATGGATGGAACTAGAAGAAAGCATCCTGAGTGAGGTAATCTACTACACAAAAAGACAAAAGTGGTATGTATTCACTCATATATGAATTTTAGACAGAGCAAAGGATCACCAGCCTATAATCCACACTGCCAGAAAAATCTAAGGAACAAGGAGGACCCTAAGATATATATACATATAAAATCCCCTGAAGAGGGGGAAAAATACAAGATTTCCTGAGAAATTTGGGTGTATGGGGGGAGCGGAAAGGGGATTAGGAGAAAGAGGAAAGAGAAGAGGAGAAGAAGAGGGGAGAGGAGACATGGGGGAGCAGGAAGTTTGAGTCAGGTGAAAAATAGAGGAGAGCAAGAAAAAAGGTATCATAATAGAGGGAGCCATTATACATTTTAAGAAAAATCTGGCACTAGGGAAATGTCCAGAGATCTCCAAAGATGACCCCAACTAACAATCTAAGCAATATTGGAGAGGCTACCTTAAATGCCCCCATAATGACCTTACATGCCATCCTAGACCTTTCATCTAGTAGCTGATGGAAAAAGAAGCAGACATCCACAGTTAAACACTGAGCTGAACTCCTGGAATCTAGTTGTAGAGAGGGAGGAGTGATGAACAAAGGGGTTAAGACCAGGTTGGATAAACCCACAGAAACAACTGACCTGAACAAGTGGGAGCATGGACCCCAGTTTGATAGCTGGGAAACCAGCATAGGACCAACCCTGACCCCAAGAACATGCATGTTTGTTAGGAGGACTGTGTAGTCTATGGGGCTATGGTGGTGGATTAGAATTTATCCCTATTATATGAATGGACTTTCAGAGTCCATTCCACTTAGAATGA